ATTCTGCAAAGATGAGTGGGCCAAAATTCCTCTACAGCGCTGTAAAACTCATTGCCAGTTATCGCAAACGCTTGATTGCAGTTGTTGCTGCTAAGGGTGGCCCAACCAGTTATTAGGTTTAGGGGGCAATCACTTTTTCACACAGGGCCATGTAGGTTTGGATTTTTTTTCCCCCCTTAATAATAAAAACCTTCATTTAAAAACTGCATTTTGTGTTTACTTGTGTTATCTTTGTCTAATATTTAAATTTGTTTGATGATCTGAAACATTTAAGTGTGACAAACATGCAAAAAAATAAGAAATCAGGAAGGGGGCAAACACTTTTTCACACAACTGTATGTTGTAGAAACACTGCTGTTATAGTCACAGTAGTAAAGTAGAATGCACTTGATGGGTCCGAGACCAAAAGCCGCTTTTCTTAATAGTTTTTATACATTTATTGGGAGAGTACTATGAGTGCAAATGAATACATGTCCAGATAATTGATCAAATATACTAACATGTGTTTAGTATAAGACCTTCTGCAACCTTTTGACATTTAGACATAGTGGTAAATAATCAAATGAAAACAGTCTCAATTCTATTTAGATGCAGAGTTTTATGAGTAATTGTTGATCAAATGAAACTGGAGGCCTGTCTTCTAACACATTGCCATACAAGACCTTATTATTAGTAAGACAACTGAACATCTGTGTCTTGTGTCCTCCAGCCATCTGCCCTCCGAACCAGTTCCGCTGTGGTGACAACCAGTGTATCACCAAGAAACAACAGTGTGACAACTACTCTGACTGTCCCGACGGATCAGATGAGCTTGCCTGTGGTAACAACACTGAAATATACTGTAAGCACAAGTGTTGTTGTTTCTGGTCAAGTGCTTGTCCCCTGACTCTGCATCCTTTGCTTCTGCTTCTAGAGTACGTGTCTCCTCCCTCCAGTGGCATCCCCAACGCCGGGCCCAACACCATCGTTCCGGTCATCGCCATCATCCTGCTCGTCTTATTCATCGGTGGAGCTTACTTAGTCTGCCAGCATCTGGTGTGTCGGCGCTACAAAGGCCCCAGTGGAACGTTTCCCCACGAGTACATCAGTGGTACGCCCCACGTGCCCCTCAACTTCATCGCCCCCAGCAGCTCGCAGCATGGCACCTTCCAAGGTAAGATCAGACAGGCAGCATGTTTTTTTTCAATATCTGGAGGGAAGAAGAGAACAGGGACAGAGCATGGAGGGAGCGAAATAAGTGAAGCGCCAGAGCAAGTTTATACGTGTTGAGTTGGGAAAACGGTGATGGAAGATTCCAGCCTCCACTTCAAAAGGGACGGTCAAACTAGCACCTATGTTGTTTTACTGTAGTGTATGTAATGGGCATTACGGTAACAGCAAAATAAAAGCATCTTTCCGGTGAACGTTCAATTTCATATGTCAGTCAGTCTGTCAATAATAAATAGATAAATAAATGAATGAATGAAGATAAACATTAACGAAATCATTTTTTAAATCCAAAACAAACTGTATTAATAATAAATTATGTGAACGATTTTATATATATATATATATATATATATATATATATATATATATATATAT